CCCCCCCCCCCCCGTGTGCAGCTGCTTAGATCCCGCACCTCTCTTTGCTCCCTGCTTCTCCTTTACTAACACAGCCTGCTACATTTTACGAATGTGTTGGTAAGTGAGAAACAGAAATTGAAAAATAAATTAAAATGAAGAAATGCATTGTCTCGTCTCTGTTTTCCCTGCTGGATTTTGCGTCTGGCCCCCCGTTTCATCTCTACAAAGCATTTTCCTGGTTGCTCTGGAGCAAGGGACGGCTTATTAAGTCCCATGCTCAGCGCCCTCACCCCAGACTCTTCTTTCTAACCTGAACCCCTTGGCCTCGGAGGAGCTGATTCCATATAACCTTGCTGGGAGGGATGGGGGCCAGAGGACAGACGCTCGGGGAGGCCAGTTTTGGCATCTCCTAAGGACAAGCTTTAAATCAATTCAGAAGCGGCCCGTCTCCCCTCGCTCCGCCTCTGTTTACAGTGAGTGATTTCCTCTGTCTTTACACCAACAGACCCATTTCCCCGAGTAACCATTCGCTGAGGGGATGGGGCATTAGATCTTTCAACTGGGGCTCTGACCCCTCCGGGGTGAAGGTCTGAGTCATCCTGTCAGACGGGCCCCCTCGACCAGCAGAGATGCTGAAGGCAAGGGATCTGCGGATAAGAGGCATAAGCTAGGGCCTCAAACCCAACCGCGGCATCAGGGGCGATAGGTGATACCCCCAGGTCTCTGTCATCCGTGTTCTTCGCCGAGTAGCATCCACGTGGGGGGTGAGTGGATCTGTGTGAGGCAGGGAGAGGCCTGGGCGGATGTTGATTCTCTGCCCACCTGTCCTTGGGCAGATGGTTCTACAGACGTGTGGGCTCCTGCCATCCTGGCTGGCTGGCTTCCCCCACAAGCGCCAGTGGCTCTCCTGTCATCCACTGTCTCAGAGAAGGTGAAGTGTCCCCTAAGCCGACTCAGAAGACTTGTGGAAGCCCCGCTCCCTTCCTCACATTTGGACAACGCTGGAGCCCCCAGGGGGAGGTGGAAGCTTCCTCGCCTCTGCGGGGCTTTGCCCGAGACCTCTGCTTCCACCCCCCTCCTGTGCTGCTCGCCCGCCACCACCGTCTCCTTGAGTGACCACTGGCACATACCTGCTCTCTGCAGTCGCCTCTGGGGAACGGAAGACCGGGGAAGACAGGCCAAGCCTGTTGGTAGGCGGAGGCCGTGTCTTGGGAGGGGCCTGGTCGGAGTGCAGGACAGGCAGGCCCCAGGTGTTGAGAGGCATTGCTGAAGAGCTCACAGCCCAGTAGGAGAGGGACACACACCTAAATGGTCACACATGGGGGGTGAGGGGACAGAGCAACGGACTCCAACATGGGGAGCCAAGTGGCCTCCCAGAAGTCTTGCTGAGTCAGCAGGCATCTGCCTGGAGGTGAGGCCTGGAGACACTAGAGGGGGAGGTGGTCAGGATGGAAGTCACACTGCGCGATAGATCAGAGCCAGAGGGGACCTGGTGTGATTAGGAACAGTGAGTCTGGGAATCGCTGGGAGGTAGGTGCTACAGGAGACAGGTGGTGGAATGAGAGAGAGAGCTTAGGGACTGGATTTTGTGGAATCCATTGGCCCCAGACTCTCAGATTCTTCCTATGTACAGCCTTGACTTCTCCCCAGAACTTTTCAGCACCTCTGTCACCTCTACCTGACTTGTCCATTCCAACAGGCATCTAAGCCCAGCCAAATATAGCTCCTGGAAAGCCCCATGAGTCAGGCCCTGTCCCCCGGGAGGCCTGCCCACCCCAATCCCTGCCCTCATCACCCGGCTGTCCCCCACCTTGCTTTTGCCACCTAACCACAAGCCAGCCTGGTCCCCAGTCCTTGCTACCGCCCGCCTCCACCCCTACCAGCGGTCTGAGCAGCAGCGAAAGGAATAGACACCCTCCTCAACGCCCCAGGGGGACAGGAGCCATGGCGCCTGAGCCGTCTCTCACCCCTGTACTTTTACCTAAAACAAATGTCATGCGCAGATCCTCGGTGGGGGCCATGGGCTGGCCTGGTCCGGAAGCGGCGCTGTCCACCCACCCGCCCTACCCAGAATTCCTAGGGCCCCTGGCTGCCACGCCCACTCCAGCGTCCCCACATCC